ATATATATATATGTATATATATATATATATATATATATATATATATACATCATTATCATATGTGTGTGTGTTTTTGCTGAAACTGCAGTATCAGTTTGTTTGTGTGTGTTTTCAGGGACACACTGATGAGCTGTGGGGTTTGGCCACACACCCCTTTAAGGACCTGTTCCTCACCTGTGCTCAGGACAGACAGGTGTGTTTGTGGAGCTCAGTGGATCACGTGCTCGAATGGACCAGACTGCTGGACGTAAGACTCTCTCTCTCTCTCACACACACACACATTCACACACACCCATTCATTAATTTTCCTTTGGCTCAGTCCCCCATTTATCAGAGGTAGCCACAGCGGAATGAATCGCCTACTATTCCAGCATATGTTTTACACAGCGGATGCCCTTCCAGCTGCAACCCAGTACTGGGAAACACCCATACACTCTCACATTCACAAACACTCATACACTACAGCCAATTTAGTTTATTCCCCTATAGCACATGTGTTTGCACTGTGGAGGAAACCGGAGCACCCGGTGGAAACCCACACCAACATGGCGAGAACATGCAAACACCACACAGAAATGCCAACTTGTCCAGCTAGGACTCAAACCAGCTACCTTCTTGCTGTGAGACGACAGTGCTGACCACTGAGCCACCGTGCCACCACACACATTCCATAAGTTGCCATTGTTTTTATTCTGTACACACTGTATTTTCTATCTACTTATCCTAAACCTCACAGCAAACTGTGTTTTACTTGCTGATTGAAACTCCTTCTGGATGAAGTTTAAGCATTTTAAATGGGTCATCAGCAATGTCCTCATGATTCCCCTTCTCACAACACAGTTATTTGCTTGCTGATACTACATAGGTGACTTCAATTTACTCAACATAAGAAAACATTTTGAAACAATTGTTGTAACAAAACATTAGGTGGTCAACATGTTGCATTATTTTATCAAATGGTCTTGATTTAATATAGATTTTTTTAATGTAAAAGTATACATATAGCAGTATTGATGTGTTTTGTGTGTGTTTTCAGGAGCATGGCCACTGTGCAGATTTCCACCCCAGCGGCTCAGTTGTGGCCATTGGCACTCACTCAGGGAAGTAAGTAAACTCTGCCATCTCTGCAGTGATGTGGTTGCCAGAACATCATTTTTTTTCTGCTATTCGTGTATTTTAAAGTGTAATGCATTCTAATAATTAAGAATTGAGTTTTAAAGGCGCTGTACTAGAATCAGTTTTTTTATAATTATTATTATCTCAGACTGATGGCTGAAGGTCTGGCCAGTGTAAATTGACCGGTAGGTCAATTGGTGCTTTTGAAAACACTGTCGGTTGGGTTTAGGGAAGGGGGTGGGTGGGTCAATTGGTGCTTTTGAAAACACTATCGGTTGGGTTTAAGGAAGGCGGTGGGCGGGTCAATCTGTGCTTTTGAAAACACTATTGGTTGGGTTTAGGGAAGACGGTGGGTGGGTCAAGTGGTGCTTTTGAAAACACTGTTGGTTGGGTTTAGGGAAGGGGGTGGGCGAGTCAATTTGTGCTTTTGAAAACACTTGGTTGGGTTTAGGGAAGGCAGTGGGCGGGTCAAGTGGTGCTTTTAAAAACACTGTCGGTTGGGTTTAGGGATGGCAGTGAGCGTTCAATTGGTGCTTTTGAAAACACTATTGGTTGGGTTTAGGAAAAGCGGTGGGTGGGCCAATCAATTTTTTTGAAAACACTGTCAGTTAGGTTTAGGGAAGGCAGTGGGCAGGTCAATTGGGCTTTGGTAATGCGTTGGGCGGGCCAATCGATGCTTTTGAAAACACTGTCGGTTGGGGTTAAAGAAGGAGGAGGGTGGATCAGCCGATCGGTCAGTAAGTCAGTCAACAGCGGCCTCTGGTGGATTTATGCGAGAACAGTAGATGTGAATGGCACTTGTGGGAGAAATTTGAGATCTGAAAAAGCGAACACAGCAGCCTCTGGTGGATTCGCGAAAACAAAAACTGCAAAAAAATTTACCGCCCGGACGTATTTCGCAATGTGCAGAAGTGTAGGCAGGGGTTTGTATCCATAATGAGCCTGGATTGTTTAAATGAAGTTAATTATGTAATTTTAGTTTATTTTCTAATGTTTTGTTTTTATGTTAATGCTCTGTATTTGATTTTTATCCACGTTATTTACAAATAAAAAAATCCATAAATAGTTAATATTATTAAAAGATTGTTGAATAGTCCACTTACGGTAATTTTGTTTAAATTATATATAATATATCAAATTAAATATAGAATTAGAATATGGAACATGTGAAACACTTAAATAAATGTGCATTTAGCATTTCAGAGCTTTAATGGTCTGATTTGATGTGTTTAAGGTGGTATGTTCTGGACGCAGAGACGAGGGATCTGATTGCCATCCACACAGACGGCAACGAGCAGCTCTCAGTGATGCGCTACTCTGTCGGTGAGCGGCATATTTCTGTTTTCTGTGATGTAAACGTGTGTGTAAAGCAGACAGTTTAATGTCGCTGTTTCTCAGATGGCACGCTGCTGGCAGTGGGATCACATGATAACTTCATTTACCTCTACACGGTGTCGGACAAGGGACGCAAGTACAGCAGATATGGGAAATGCACTGTGAGTTTTACTGCTATGTAGTGTTTTTCGACCATACTACAGTAAAGTACTTGAATGAGTTGTGGTGATTCTATGGTTTTTATAGGAACAAAACAACTAGTAATATAAAAAAATGAGCCAATACTTTAGTTCTACAACTACACTCACCGGCCACTTTATTAGGTACACCTTACTAGTAGCGGGTTTGACCCACTTTTGCCATCAGAACTGCCTTAATCCTTCATGGCATATATTCAACAAGTTACTGGAAATATTCCTCAGAGATTTTGCTCCAAATTGACATGATAGCATCACACAGTTGCTGCAGATTTGTCGGCTGCACATCTATGATGACAATCTCCCCGTTCCACCACATCCCAAATGTGCTCTATTGGATTGAGATCTGGTGACTGTGGAGGCCATTTAAGTACAGTGAACTCATTGTCATGTTCTGAACTGTTGATACAAGGCAGGATGAATCCATGCTTTCATGTTGTTGATGCCAAATTCTGACCGAATGTGTCAGCAGAAATGGAGACTCATCAGAGCAGGCAACGTTTCTCCAATCTTCTATTGTCCAGTTTTGGTGAGCCTGTGTGAATTGTAGCCTCAGTTTCCTGTTCTTAGCTGACAGGAGCGGCACCCGGTGTGCTCTTCTGCTGCTGTAGCCCATCTGCCTCAAGGTTGGACGTGTTGTGTGTTCAGAGATGCTCTTCTGCAGAGCTCGGTTGTAACGGGTGCTTATTTGAGTTACTGTTGCCTTTCTATCAGCTGGAACCAGTCTGGCCATTCTCCTCTGGCATCAGCAAGGCATTTGCGCCCACAGAACTGCCGCTCACTGGAGATTTCCTCTTTTTCAGGCCATTCTCTGTAAACCCTAGAGATGGCTGCGCGTGAAAATCCCAGTAGATCAGCAGTTTCTGAAATACTCAAGACCAGTCTGGCACCAACAACCATGCCACGTTCAAACTCGCTTAAATCACCTTTCTTTCCCATTCTGATGCTCGGTTTGAACTGCAGCAGATCGTCCTGACCATGTCCACATGCCTAAATGCATTGAGTTGCTGCCATGTGATTGGCACATTTGCATTAACGAAATTTGCATAAATGAGCAGTTGGACAGGTGTACCTAATAAAGTGGCCGATGAGTGTATATGTTATATTTTACTACAATACACCACAGTTTCCTGTAAATTAAACACTATAGTAGTTTTTATGTCCTTATTTAGATTTTTTCACTTTGATTATTGCAAGTGCTACAACAGTAAGTTGTTCTCTGCTAAATCTTTGAATCCTCAGGGACATTCCAGCTACATTACACATCTTGACTGGTCCCCCGACAACAAGTTCATCATGTCCAACTCAGGAGACTACGAAATCCTTTACTGTAAGTGTCTGACCACAGGCTCGCCTCTTCCCAGAAAAACATTGCCGTCTAATCGCACTCCGGTTTCGTCTCGTTATTGAATGTTTATATGATGGTGTTGTTGTTTTTCCGCAGGGGACATTCCAAACGGCTGTAAGCTGATCCGCAACCGCTCCGAGTGCAAAGACATCGACTGGGCCACGTACACCTGCGTGCTCGGCTTCCACGTCTTCGGTCAGTATCTGTGCACTGAGGCATCATGGGACTTTTCATGCTCAGACAACTCAGTTTTGGTAGAGTTGGGATACTCTTTTGTTTTTTGTTTTTGAATCAGTCACATGCACTCACTTTCTTCAACGCCTCAACTCAAACGTTTATCCGTGTCTCAAGAGTTTAGTGGTTGTCATTTGAACCCTACTTTCTGCTTTACACTCTTTTATTCCAGTCAGTGGTTTAGCCTTGAGGGGGTCTGAGTCATTCTCACTCACAAACACCCTTACTTGGCAGTCCAAATGGGGTTATACCAGACTGTGTTTGCTAAAGGAAATTATGAGTTTTTTTTTGTAACCATATACACTTTAAACAATGCTAGGCTCCACACAGCATAAAGGGATTAAGTTAACATTATTTTGAATCTGCCACTATGCTGACACACAGGCATTTGTAGCTCTGCCCTCTTTTGAAAAGAGCACAATCTCATTTGAATTTAAAGATCTAAATTTGGCGTTCTATAATCCCTATTAATAACTCCTGTACAGCAGTGCCACAACATTCTGACACTTGAATACCAGTAAGGTCTAGTTGTTGTCAGTGGGCTTTTTACAGTGTCTGCTATAATGTTAATGCTGTCTTTGGTGTGTTTATACATTGATGAATATGGCCACTGTGTAAACCCTGCTGAAAAATCCAGCTTAAACCAGCCTAGGCTGGTTGGCTGGTTTTAGCTGGTCGACCAGCCTGGTTTTAGAGGGGTTTTGGCCATTTCCAGGCTGGTTTCCAGCCATTTCTTGCCTATTCGTAGCTGGTCAGGCTGGAAAAGGACCAGCTAAATCCAGCTAAAACCAGCATGACCAGCCTGGTTTAAGCTGGACTTAGCTGGTTTTGGCTTGGCTTCCAGCCTGGCTAGGCTGGTCAAGCTGGTTTTAGCTGGTCATCTCCCAGCCTGCCTAGCTAAGACCAGGCTGGAAATGGTTGGAAACCAGCCTGGAAATGGCCAAAACCCCTCTAAAACCAGCTTGGCCGACCAGCTTAAACCAGCCAACCAGCCTAGGCTGGATTAAGCTGTTTTTTTTTCAGTAGGGAATACACAGAAAGTTACTATCTTATTGCCACATTAGATCGTTATAATAACATAATAAATGCCTTCAGTGATTTCCTGAAGATAAATAGCAATAAATAACACAACTTGAATAACTACAGCAGTCGCGAGGAGATCGCGAGGACATATGATGACGTGTGCAGGTGCTGTAGTGCTGTTCTTATGGGTAAATATTAAAGCCCTACAAAACTAGAACTGGGATTGGGCCTTAATCGGAGAATTGTCTTAATCTTATTTAAAATCTGAATGTTGGTGTCCATGTAAACATACTCGGTGTTGTGATGTTGTGCTCTGATGTATTCGTTGTGTTTCAGGCGTTTGGCCGGAGGGCTCAGATGGCACAGATATCAATGCGCTGATACGATCCCACAACAGGAAGGTGATCGCTCTGGCTGATGACTTCTGTAAAGTACACCTCTTCCAGTATCCCTGCTCCAGGCCCAAGGTCAGTCACCACATTTACATTTACATTAAGTCGTTTAACAACGTGGTCCTTAACCATTAGGTCACGGACTGGTATCGCTCCGTGGATCAATTGGTACAGGGCCACACAAGAAATCATTATGCATTTCAGTTTTATCTATTATCCAAGTCTGAACATGCTGTTATTTAGAAAAATTAATCATTTTGAAAAATTACCATAGTATCTCGGTTACTTGAGCGCTCAAATTTAACCCACAAGCAGCAAAATAAGTAAGAAACACGACGTTGGAAAGTTTCTTTGTGAAGAGGAAAAGGCTCAGTGAAGGAACCACGAGCTGCCAAAGAATAGATCCACAACCCATTTGTCAACAAATCAGGTGAATCCAGCATGTCTGTGCAAGAAGATCAGGTGAAAACGCAAATGGCGGCCACATTTTAGGGGCCGTTCGCATATCACATCTTTTCTAGAGTTCGCACAAGTTTTTTAAGTAAGAAGGGGGGAGGGTCTTTTTTAAGGGTCAATTGGGGGACCCATAAAGTGCCTTGAAATGTGCATTTTTTAATCTATGTTTCATATAATGTCAACTAAAAAAATCAAGAGAAGGTGGGACATATAGTAGCTCCTCCCCTTTTTAAAAAGCAGCCAATAGCGTTTGGTTTTTATCACAGCTCTGCCAGTGAGAGTGATTGAGCTCAGGCGCATCAAATGAAAAGCAAAGTCAGCGCAACAGCCTAGTGGTTAGCGTGTTGACATACGGTGCAGTAGCACGTCAGGAAGTCCCGAGTTCGATTTCCAACTTGAGGACATTTCCCTACCCTACCCCCTCTCTTTCTCTCCAACTTCGCTTATTGTCTCAATACTGTCTTATCTAAAAAAAGCAAAAATAAATCTTAAAAAAATTAAACGCAAATGAGAAGTGAGCGGGGCATGTCGGATACTAGAGAGCATTTGATTGGTCAGAAGATCTGATAAGAAACTGAAGTATGAGGTGGCATGAAAAAAAACGTTGATCGATGGAAGTGACAAACTGCAAGCGTTGGATGTTTAAATCAGGTGTATATCTTCAAATACTATTTTGGAGCACACTAGCTAATAGGTATCTTTAAAATGAATAGACTAAAGCTAACATAAAAAATGGATTTTAATTTCACCGACCTTTAATTGAATTTGAATATGTAATTTGTATAGAAATGATTCACTATTTCCCTGAGGAGTGCCCAGAGTTATAGGATGATACTGAAAGCTTGTCAGACAGTGAGAAGGGGAAGGAGCTTTGCGAAGGGTCAATTGGGTAAGATTGATGAATGCATTCATCTGAAGTTTCCTTGGTTTTGTTGTTTAATTGCAGGCCCCAAGCCACAAGTACAGCGCCCACAGCAGTCACGTGACCAATGTGAGCTTCATGCACAACGATAGTCACCTGGTTTCCACGGGTGGCAAGGACATGAGCATCATGCAGTGGCGTCTAGTGGAAAAAACCTCTTCATTGGTGCACAGCGACTCCAGTCTGGGCTTCGGCGACTCCTTTCTGAACAACTCCACCCCTCGGGGGCTGCCATCGGTACCCAGCATCCCCAACACTCCTACTGAGCCTGTGCCGATGGCGGTGCCAGTCTCACTAGCCATCAGCACCCATCCCGACTCCAACACTCCACCTCCAACACCCCCTGAACCCCTGCATAAGGCCACTCCTAATGGACAGCAGGACGGCTCGCCGGAAACTCCGCCCCCTTCTGATGATGCCACGCCCCCTTCCGACAGCACTCTGAGCCCAAAGGACAGCCTAGAGCCTAGTGATGATACAGCCACGCCCAGTGACGAGGGCACACCCTTTAACCCGCCCTTATAAGGTGTCTAGCCCTTCCTCTTTCTCTCTTGCTCAATAGCGCGCCCAGAGGCACCAGCATGACACTGCAGCCTTCCTGTGGGATTACAGCAGCAGAGTCTCCTCGGTTTTTTTATCCTTTCGAGATTTTCTTTTCATTTGTGTCTTAGTTTTGTTAATGTTTTGTTCTGTGGTCGTGGAGGCATTGGTTTGGCTTGGATGGTGAGAGATTTGGAATTTGTAGTTAAAACCAGTAAATTTACACTGACACACACACACACAAACACTAATACAGACATTCATACGCGATTCGGTAACTGATTATGTTAAAGGTGGAATTAAATCAGTTTACCTGCCTGAGTTCACACAGGCCAACACACAAATGAAACAAAATCAACACAAGCTTTTTTCTATACTTAAAGGGTGAAATTAATTAATTAATTACCAAATCTGTACTTCACTTATGAGGTTTACTATAAATCTTTTGGTCTTTATTGGCTCGTCCTCATATCGTTCCAGACCTGTTTGACTGTCCTTCTTATGTGCATAATAGAAAAGATCTTTTGAGGATCTTTTGAAATGTTTGAGAAACCTTTGAGGATCTTTCGAAGAGGTTTCGAGGGTCTTTTAAGGTAGCTTCACATATTTTTCAAAGCTGTTTCAAAGATCTTTTGTGGATGTCTTGAGGATCTTTCGAAAATGTTTCAAGAATCTTTCAAGGCTCTTTTGAGAATCTCTCAAAGATGTTTTAGGGCTCTTTTGAGGGTTTTTAAAAGATGTTTAGAGGCTCTTTTGAGAATTATTCAAAGATCTTTCGAGGCTTTTTAAAGAATCTTTCGAGTCTCTTTTGAGAATCTTTCAAAGATCTTTCAAGGCTCTTTTAGGAATCTTTCAAGGATCTTTCGAGGCAATTTTGAGAATCTTTCAAAGATGTTTCGAGGCTCTTTTGAGAATTTCTCAAAGATGTTTCGAGGCTCTTTTGAGGGTTTTTAGAAGATGTTTAGAGGCTCTTTTGAGAATTATTCAAAGATCTTTCGAGGCTTTTTTAAGAATCTTTCGAGGCTTTTTTAAGAATCTTTCGAGGCTCTTTTAAGAATCTTTCGAGGCTCTTGAGAATCTTTCAAAGATCTTTCAAGGCTCTTTTAGGAATCTTTCAAGGATCTTTCGAGGCTCTTTATAGAATCTCTTAAAGATGTTTAGAGGCTCTTTTGAGAATTTTTCAAAGATGTTTCGAGGCTCTTTTAAGAATCTTTCGAGGCTCTTTTGAGAATCTCACAAAGATGCTGCGAGGCTCTTTAAGGAATCTTTCAAGGATCTTTTGAGGCTCTTTTGAGAGTCTCTTAAGAGTCTCTCAAATATGTTACAAAGATCCGTTGCGGATTTATAAAAAAAAAAAAAATATGTCTTGAGGTTCTTTCAAAGATGTTTTGAGGATCTTTTGAATACATTTCAAAGATCATTTGAGGGTTTATTCAAATATTTGAGGATGTCTTTAGGTTCTTTAAAAGAGAAGATGTTTTGAGGATCTTTCGAGTACCTTTTGAAGTTTTTTTAAAATAGTTTCAAGGATCTTTTAAGCACTTTTCAAAGACCTTTTGACAGTTTTGCTCCAATTTCACTTGTGTTCTTTAAAATATCTTCTTCTGTTTTGCAGAAGGCAACTTAAACAGGTTTGGAATGACATGAAGTTGAGTAAATGTTCATTTTTAGGTGAACTAAGCTTTAAATCACGTTTGAATGTTCATTTGTGTTCTCTCTCACTTTCTGTGAACATTGGTGGAGGAACTGGGTGTGAAGCTAATTTGCCTGCTTGCATAGCATCTGTCCCTGAGCCAAAAACTATAGGACGTGCAAATCTGGTGATGCCAGGCAGGTGTTCCTGGTTCATACGTTGGACTCAAGGACCTCAATATTCCAGGCTGCTTCTGCTGGTCATCATGGTCATGGATACCTTGAATTTCAACCATAATTTTTGCCTTGAATTTACTGAACAATAGCCATGTACAGCTGTGCACGACATTCAGTATATCCGCAGCGAACACATTCTCACACAAGCCTGACCTGCAACAAAAACAGGTCTGCATGGTGATAAACAGCCGATATATAGTAGTTCCAGTCTCACCCAGCTGTCTAAGATACCGCGCCACTCTTACATCTCCTTTTTTTACACTGGAGATTTTCATACCATCCGTTTTAAACTCTCATCCAAATGACTCTTTTCTCACTGAGACCGAATTGTTTTTAGGTTTAATTTTGGGACTGTCTTTCTTGTCATTTTGTTCATTGGACTGAGATGTTCTTGTTTTTTATCATGCGAGAAAGGAAAGATTAAACGAGTCTTAAATGTGAGTGCTTGTGCGTGAGTGTGTGTGTATATGAGCCAGTCGTTCTTCTTTCATTCCTCTCTCCTTCACATCTTCTCAGGGTCTAGATGGAAAAAGTCAAAGGAAGAGAGAAAGGTAGAGTTTTTTCTGTCTCTCCTTTTTGGAAAAGCTTACACAATAATATCAGAAAGTAAAGTATCATGATTTCGCAATGTTTTTGTTGAAAACCGGTCATACATACACAGGGTGGGCCATTTATATGGATACACCTTAATAAAATGGGAATGGTTGGTGATCTTATTGTCCTAATTGTGGCACATTAGTATATGTGAAGAGGCAAACTTTTCAAGATGGGTGGTGACCATGGTAGCCATTTTGAAGTCAGCCATCTTGGATCCAATTTTTGTTTTTTTTTATACGAAGAGGGTCATGTGACACATCAAACTTATTGGGAATTTCACAAGAAAAACAATGGTGTGCTTGGTTTTAACGTAACTTTATTCTTTCTTGAGTTATTTACAAGTTTCTGACCACTTATAAAATATGTTCAATATGCTGGCCATTGTGTTGGATTGTCAATGCAACCCTCTTCTCCCACTCATCACACACTGATAGCAACACCGCAGGAGAAAATGCCAGCACAGGCTTCCAGTATCTGTGATTTCAGGTGCTGCACATCTTGTGTCTTCACACCAAAGACAGCCAAGATAGTGGGGCCATTCTTCATCAATGGAATCCTCAAGGACACTGGACATTTGACATTGCTCCATGATGATGTGTTTCCCTCTTTATGCACTGAATCTGCCATGTCCCCTGAGTTTTTCCTGCAAGATGGTGCACCAACACATTAAGGGTGTCAGGCCCGAGCATTCCTAGATGAACAGTTGTCCTGAAAAGTGAATTGGTCGTCGTGGGCCAGTTGAATGGCCCCCCAAGGTCTCCTGATCTGACCCCTTTGAGTTTTATCTTTTAGGTCATCTGAAGGCAGTTGTCTATGGTGTGAAGACACAAGATGTGCAGCACCTGAAACTACAGATATTGGAAGCCTGTGCTGGCATTTCTCCTGCGGTGTTGCTATCAGTGTGTGAAGAGTGGGAGAAGAGGGTTGCATTGACAATCCAATACAATGGGCAGCACACTGAACACATTTTAAAAGTGATCAGAAACTTGTAAATAACTCATGAACGAATAAAGTCACGTTAAAACCAAGCACACCATTGTTTTTCTTGTGAAATCCCAATAAGTTTGATGTGTCACATGACCCTCTTCCTATTAAAAACAACAACAGTTGTATCCAAGATGGCTGACTTCAAAATGGCCACCATGGTCATGGTCATGGTCACTACCCATCTTGAAAATTTTGCCCCCTCATATACTAATGTGCCACAAACAGGACACTAATATCCCCAACCATTCCCATTTTAT